ATATTCAACAAAAGTTATTCATCTGTTTATTCACTACAACTTTTATTTCGAACAATTTTGCCTAAAATTAATACTTTTGCCACAATTTACAAAATACCACTTTCAAGCCCGAGTTGTGTATGTTTTAATTATTTTTCCCCGATTTTGAATCACTTGACCTACATAAAAAACCCGGTTTGGAACGAGAACTAATTTTTTTTGTCAAATAATATTATATAGCCTGAACTAGTAAACAATAAAGATCTTTAAGGGTATTTCAGAGTCTCCCAAGTGTCTCTAACTCGGCCTTCTGGAGGAAAGCTTCTTCAAAAGCTCTCAATTGTTTCCACAGGTTTCTAATGATCTTCACAAGCTTTTAATAATTTGTAAGAGTGCATTTAAGAGTCGAAAATGTTTAAGAGCTTATAAAAATCGTTAACAATTTGTAAAGACTTCCAAAATCCTCCAGGAGTCTATAAGATTCTTGTTTTTAATAAAGTTGATGAATTTTTAGTTTCCATAGACTTTCAATAGTCTTCTAAGAGGCTTTGAAAGCCTCAATTGGCCTTTAAGAGCGTTTAAAAATTCCGGATAGGCTTTAATAGTGTTGAGAGACTGTGAAGAGTCTTTAAAAATAGCCAATATCTCCCAAGGTCTTTTAAAATCTTTCTTAAGATTTTGTCTCTTTACACTTTGAAAGCTTTTAAGGATCTTGAAGAGTTTTTTAGGATTTCCAAGGCCTTTAAGAAAAGTAGACCCTTAAGAAACCTGCCCGCTTAAGTCGCTCCAATAATTTTTAGCGCATTTTTGGAAAAAAATACGCTATTATATTCGTTATGGCTGGCTGACTGTCTGTCTGACTGAGATCTCAGCAATTACAATAGCTAGCGAGACTTCAAATTTTCACTGAAAGCTTTCTGATGTAGTGTAGATGTGCAGGATCTAGTCTATTTTGAGTTAGATTACTCATGAGATCGATAATTGAAGAAAATAATTTCGACATGGTTTTCGGAGGTGCTATAATTTTTCCGTTAGATAGCGCTACCAGTAGAACAACTTAATTATTAGCGCATTTTTGAAAAAAAAATACGTTATTATATTCGTTATGGCTGACTGGCTGGCTGTCCGGCTGAGATCTCAGCAATTACAATTGCTAGAGCCTTTACATTTTCACTAAAAGCTTTCTGTTATAGTGTAGATGTTCAGGCTATAGTCTATTTTGAGTTACATTACTCGTGAGATCGATAATTTTAAACTTGGCTAATGAAATACTGATCTGCATTGTCAATCTACAACTTGTTTATTTCAATAACCTAAAATTTGACATCCAGCAAACAAACCAGACTACAGTAGGCACTTTTTTTTATAGTATCCTAAAGTGACTGGGAGGATCTTTCTCTGGTTGGTTAGGGACTAAGAGGTAGAAATTATTTTGCTTAGGGAATTACCAACTAAATCCGTACACTGATACATTCGAGATGTGTATAATATGAACACCTTGAAACCTACCCTCACTACACAAAGTGTTTTCAGAATGAACGTACCGGAACTTCCAACATGGCAAGACTGTCACGAGCTGTGGAGCAAAAAACGAAAACGCCAACTGCGCGAGCAACAAGAAGCCGTTCAGAACCTTCCAACTAGTAAACCCCCAGTGGACATTGGCGGGTGAGTTTGCCTTTGACTACACGTTCGGGTAAAACGTTTTATGTTGTAGTAGTAGCACTATTATTTGCACATTTTGTAGACTTTCTTGCACTTGTTCTATACCTGTATGTAGTTGTTGTAGCGAGTATTTTTTCTCT